GCTGAAAGCAGGTTTCTGGGGTTTTGTTTAGCTTCTATATTTGTAACAATGTTTCTTAAACTGCAAGCTCAGAGGCCGGCAAGGCAGGCGGGGAACGTTGGCTTCCTTCGTCACTGAAGCAAGCAAGCCTCCTGTTTGTTTCAAGCTGCCTGGCTGTCGGCCACCAACTTGGTTGGCAGTTAATTTGCATATCGCCCTGATTAGCCAATGGGAAGGGTAACGGAGGTACGGCTAATTACCATGTTTCTCTATTATTAGATAGTACTAGAGGCCCAGTGCATAAAATTTGTGCACTCGGGGGGGGGGGCATCCCTCAGCCCAGCCTGCCCCCTCTAACAGTCTGGGAGCCCTCACAGGATGTCCTACTGATGTCCCTGTGGGGAGCGGGCCTACGCCGCAGTCTGGCCTCCCTCTGTGGAAGGCAACTGCCCGATCAGGTATATAGATACTTTCTGAAGGCAGCACAGACTCCTTCCTTATTTCTTTCCTCTGTGGTTGGAGAATAGGGAACTAAAAGGTGGAGACAGAACTGTGGCCGGGCCTGGGGCTCTTGTAGGCAGCAGAAAGAAGGAGAGGGCTGGGGAAAGTCTAGACACGGTTTTCTTCAATTGTCCTCCCTTCCTCCGGGCCCCTCGCTCTGTTCTTTCCTTGTCGTGGTGGACGCTTGGGCCTCGGACTGACAGGAGCCCAGCGATGGTGGAGTTCAGTCCACTCACTTCTCAGCTGAACATACAACTGCCTCACATTCCAAGTGGAGCTGTTTTCAAGTGGCTAAAGTGCTGGCAATTCATGCCTCCTGGCCTTTCCCCTCTCGGGTTTCCTCCTTGGGTCAGTTGCATACTTCACCGAGACACCGAAACAACTCCGCCCTGGTAGTTCTGCACCGGCCCCTGCCTGGGCCTGGCCGGGCACTGTTCCTTGAGGTCTCTGGGTCCACAGTCTGAGCTCAGGGAGGTCACCCAGAGCCCGTTCCCCTGGACAGGTGGGGCATGGGGGTTAGCTTGAAGAGCTGGAGGAAGATGGCAGAGTAAGAGTTGGTATGAACCAGCGCTTGCTTAGCCAGACTTCCTAAGCTCCCCATTGGGCCCAGGCTGGGCCCCTTCCCCACACCAGGAGGATCCCAGCTGAGGTCCCCTCCCTGCACTTGCACCCAGCGCTCTCCTCCCTGTTCTACCACTGGGGGAAGGGAGCAGCTCACCTGCTCTGGACCCTACCAACCTGGAAGGCTGAGGCAGAGGTGGTGCAGCCTAGGGTGCTGGTGGCTGCGAGGCTTCTCCCCCTCCCTGAAGCGTGGGGTGGGGTTGCAGCAGCTCACAGCCACCCCTGGGCAACATGCATGGAGAAACCGCTCTCCACTGAGCCACCGTCCGCCCAGGACCTGTGGGGGTTGGGGTGGCCTTGGGCTCCCACTGGCCCCACTGAAGCCAGACTCAGCTTGGCCGGCCACCCCCGCTGCCCTAGGGCTGCGCATGCCCCACGGTCCTCATCGCCCTCATGAATCGCCGTGGTCTGGCCATCCCATCCCAGGAAGTGGCCATCCCGATTGCCATGGCTCACTCCCCGGTGCAGTTGGGCCTGCCCAGCAAGCATGTAGGCAGGAGCTGTGCCTCTGAGGGGAAGGAGGAGGGATGCGTAGGCCAGGGCAGAAGTGGGGAACTTGGCGATGTAAACACAGCCCCCCCGCCCCATGTCGTGCAGGCCCCTCGCGCTGCATTCCTGAACCCCTGGGTGCCCCTGCCCAACACTGTGCTCTCGGGCCTGGGGTGGGGGTGAGGGACCTAGAGCTGCGGCCTGAAGGCAGCCCTCGCTGGCTTGGAATCGCAGTGGTCGATCAGGGAGGGATGTGGGGTGCCAAATTCCGCCTTTCTCTCTCTCTCTCTCTCTCTCTCTCTCTCTGAGGGCCCCATGTCCCCGGCGGGTGGGCGGGGGCTCAGGCGAAGGCAAGTGATGCCAATCACCTCGCCTGAGCCCCCACCTGCCCCCGGGTCATACATGGGACGCCCGGGCGGGCCGGTGGATCACTGCTGCCCTGCCCAGCCTCCCTGGGTCGGGTTGCACATGGGACGCCCACTGCCCTGCGTCGCAGATAGCAGGCCTGGATGGCAGCAGGGCAGGCAGGATGGTGCTGTCCCACCCTGCCTGCAGTATGCAAATTAGCCGCCATCTTTGTTGGCGGTTGATTTGCATATCACGCTGATTAGCCAATGGGAGGCGTATCGAAGGTACAGTCAAATACCATTTTTGTCTATTATTAGATAGGATTTTTAAAATCCTCACCTGAGGATATTTTCCCATTGATTTTTAGGGAAAGTGGAAGAGACAGGCAAAGACAGAGAGAAACATCGACGCACATTGATTGGTTGCCTCATGCACAAGCCTGGACCAGGGCCTGGGCTGGGGAGGAGCCTGCAACCAAGTACATGCCCTTGATCGGAATCAAACCCAGCACCCTTTGGTCTGCAGACCTATACTCTATCCACCAAGTCAACCAGGCTAGGGCAGGATGTACCCTTGAGTTAAGCATAGGTTCACCTGGTTGGGCACATGGTTGGGCAGAGAAGGGCTATGTCAGCAAGAGAAAAACTAAAAACGAATTCTGGGTAGGTATCCAACAGTGTCTATTAAAAAGTTCCAATGTCCATGGTTTGCTTTTCATTCATTCACATTTAAGCAAATCTTCCCAATTCACCAAGTCCTGCCCAAAAACACAGAGGTCACTCTCAGTTTTTCCACTGCATCATTTTAAAATATGAACTGG